CATTTAATATTCTTTAGTTTGCATCAGTGTGTTACCACTGTACCATGAATTTTATTTGAGACGCGAGTTATATGTTTTAACTATAACTATTAGAATTAATAATTTAAACACATTTATTTTCTTTTATAGAAAAAAAAAATTTATTTATTTATTTATTGAATTAATGGACACAAAAAAAACACTGATCGCGGTGACTGGCAAGAAGACTCTGTCCAACTTACTTTTTAGTTATTTCTTCCCAAGCCACTAGTACAGCTTACACTTGCTGACTTTACAGTTCCTCTTAAACAAATATGTGTTACAGGATGGATCAACACAGTATCCGCAACATCTAAAGCCTTTTGCATTCATTCTTATTTATTTTATATTTATATCGCAAACGTTATTTTGTGTTGAATAATTTTCTCAGTCGAAAATTTTGACTTATGGTCGTTTAAAGTTTGCAACATATTTTCAATAAAAAATTCTGAGTTCTTTACTGAACATTTAAACTTAAACGACATTTTACGTTTATATTGCTTCCCTAACCCATAACTACATCTCTATTTAAATTTTTGGTGGAGTTTTTGAATTTTATAGCTCTTAGTAGAGCAACATTAGAAGTGCTATTAAGGCTTGTTTTTGACATATTATTCAAATCAAGGTCCCTATCACTACCTGTGGTTCTATCTAAGAGGGAAGTATCTAACGTATTTACTACGTTTATCGGCACTAATGTGCTTGACTCTTCATATGTTTGTAAGAGGGGGGGTATCTAACGTATTTAATACACTTATCGGCACTAATGTGCTTGATTCGTCATTTGTTTCGTTATCATTAAACGAATTACCTTTTATAATTTTCATTTTACAAAAATAATAAGCATTACATATCTTACGCCTAACATGTACGTTATTTTTTTAATTAAAATAATTGACTTACCTGATAATTGAGTATTTATATTCTCAATAATACGCTCGAAGATGTCTTGATCAGCTTCTTTTAAGCCAATCTTAAGTATTTCCTCCTTCTTCAATGCCCCAAGAATGGCAGCAGTGTAATTTATTTTAACCATAATCGTTCACGACTTGGAAACAAATTAAAAAAAAATTAATTAATAAAATTAGTTAACACTAGAATCGTGCATTATTGGAAGAAACTATACTTTAGATTGTATAGTTGTATAGAAGGTGACAAAATATATTGCAACGAATCATACCATATATGAAGTATCTAATCTAAGTATCTATAAAATCTTGCTTAACGTGGTCAAAATTACTAACAAATATATTTACTTTACAATTCACAAATATAACTATGCTGTTGAAAAACGATTTAAATGAATCAATGTCAATAAGGGACTTTGCAAACATTATAACAAGTGTAAGACATTAAATAAAAAAGTAGTTTGTTTTAATATATTAAATAAAATAAAATTTTTTTTTAAAATTAAAAGCAAAGAACCAATCATTTAATTTGCTTTTACCCTCTTATTAATTAATTACATATGATGATTTCCTTTTTCTTTTTTGTACTCTGAAAAGTTAAAAAAAAAGAAATTTGTTAATTTTTTTGAAAATTTTAATAAAAATGATTTAAATTACGTTTTTTTTCATTGTTTTCTTTCTGCCGACGACGGTTTTCTTCCTGTCGACGGCGGTTTTCATTCTGCCGCCGGAGGCTTTCTTCCTGCCGACGGCGGTTTTCTTCCTGCCGCCGAAGGTTTTCTTCTTGCCGCTGGCGGTTTTTTTCGCGTCGCCGGTAGTAACAACTGGCCGTCGGCTGTTTTTTTTCTGCTATTAACGCTGCAGTTGCTAAAGAAAGATACAAAAATATTAAATTTTAATATAACATTTAATATAAATAATAATATAATATTATATATATATTTTAAATTAAATTATTTACATACATTTTTACCCCCAAAGAGCAATCCTATTAACACACCGGCTAGTATAGATCTATAATATATAGATCTAAAATAGATCTATTACATAATTCTAATCAAATTCAATTATTTTGCTTTTATATATAATATTGTAACATAAATTTCATATGTAATCTCCATGTAATATTCTTTAGTTTGCATCAGTGTGTTACCACTGTACCATGAATTTTATTTGAGACGCGAGTTATATGTTTTAACTATAACTATTAGAATTAATAATTTAAACACATTTATTTTCTTTTATAGAAAAAAAAAATTTATTTATTTATTTATTGAATTAATGGACACAAAAAAAACACTGATCGCGTGGTGACTGGCAAGAAGACTCTGTCCAACTTACTTTTTAGTTATTTCTTCCCAAGCCACTAGTACAGCTTACACTTGCTGACTTTACAGTTCCTCTTAAACAAATATGTGTTACAGGATGGATCAAGACAGTATCCGCAACATCTAAAGCCTTTTGCATTCATTCTTATTTATTTTATATTTATATCGCAAACGTTTTTTTGTGTTGAATAATTTTCTCAGTCGAAAATTTTGACTTATGGTCGTTTAAAGTTTGCAACATATTTTCAATAAAAAATTCTGAGTCCTTTACTGAGCACTTATACGACATTTTACGTTTATATTGCTTCCCTAACCCATAACTACATCTCTATTTAAATTTTTGGTGGAGTTTTTGAATTTTATAGCTCTTAGTAGAGCAACATTAGAAGTGCTATTAAGGCTTGTTTTTGACATATTATTCAAATCAAGGTCCCTATCACTACCTGTGGTTCTATCTAAGAGGGAAGTATCTAACGTATTTACTACGTTTATCGGCACTAATGTGCTTGACTCTTCATATGTTTGTAAGAGGGGGGGTATCTAACGTATTTAATACACTTATCGGCACTAATGTGCTTGATTCGTCATTTGTTTCGTTATCATTAAACGAATTACCTTTTATAATTTTCATTTTACAAAAATAATAAGCATTACATATCTTACGCCTAACATGTACGTTATTTTTTTAATTAAAATAATTGACTTACCTGATAATTGAGTATTTATATTCTCAATAATACGCTCGAAGATGTCTTGATCAGCTTCTTTTAAGCCAATCTTAAGTATTTCCTCCTTCTTCAATGCCCCAAGAATGGCAGCAGTGTAATTTATTTTAACCATAATCGTTCACGACTTGGAAACAAATTAAAAAAAAATTAATTAATAAAATTAGTTAACACTAGAATCGTGCATTATTGGAAGAAACTATACTTTAGATTGTATAGTTGTATAGAAGGTGACAAAATATATTGCAACGAATCATACCATATATGAAGTATCTAATCTAAGTATCTATAAAATCTTGCTTAACGTGGTCAAAATTACTAACAAATATATTTACTTTACAATTCACAAATATAACTATGCTGTTGAAAAACGATTTAAATGAATCAATGTCAATAAGGGACTTTGCAAACATTATAACAAGTGTAAGACATTAAATAAAAAAGTAGTTTGTTTTAATATATTAAATAAAATAAAATTTTTTTTTAAAATTAAAAGCAAAGAACCAATCATTTAATTTGCTTTTACCCTCTTATTAATTAATTACATATGATGATTTCCTTTTTCTTTTTTGTACTCTGAAAAGTTAAAAAAAAAGAAATTTGTTAATTTTTTTGAAAATTTTAATAAAAATGATTTAAATTACGTTTTTTTTCATTGTTTTCTTTCTGCCGACGACGGTTTTCTTCCTGTCGACGGCGGTTTTCATTCTGCCGCCGGAGGCTTTCTTCCTGCCGACGGCGGTTTTCTTCCTGCCGCCGAAGGTTTTCTTCTTGCCGCTGGCGGTTTTTTTCGCGTCGCCGGTAGTAACAACTGGCCGTCGGCTGTTTTTTTTCTGCTATTAACGCTGCAGTTGCTAAAGAAAGATACAAAAATATTAAATTTTAATATAACATTTAATATAAATAATAATATAATATTATATATATATTTTAAATTAAATTATTTACATACATTTTTACCCCCAAAGAGCAATCCTATTAACACGCCGGCTAGTATAGATCTATAATATATAGATCTAAAATAGATCTATTACATAATTCTAATCAAATTCAATTATTTTGCTTTTATATATAATATTGTAACATAAATTTCATATGTAATCTCCATGTAATATTCTTTAGTTTGCATCAGTGTGTTACCACGCGAGTTTTATTTGAGACGCGAGTTATATGTTTTAACTATAACTATTAGAATTAATAATTTAAACACATTTATTTTCTTTTATAGAAAAAAAAAATTTATTTATTTATTTATTGAATTAATGGACACAAAAAAAACACTGATCGCGGTGACTGGCAAGAGGACTCTGTCCAACTTACTTTTTAGTTATTTCTTCCCAAGCCACTAGTACAGCTTACACTTGCTGACTTTACAGTTTCTCTTAAACAAATATGTGTTACAGGATGGATCAAGACAGTATCCGCAACATCTAAAGCCTTTTGCATTCATTCTTATTTATTTTATATTTATATCGCAAACGTTTTTTTGTGTTGAATAATTTTCTCAGTCGATAATTTTGACTTATGGTCGTTTAGCAATGATCTGTTCACCTTGCTAATTAATAAAACTCTAAAAATTTTCAATGTTAATAAACTTTTATTCAACTTTTTACAGAGAGAAAAATCGAAACGTTCTCATCAATCAAAACAAAAACTTAAAAATATTTGAAATTGAATTTTACTTTTTAAATTCAATAAATGCACAGCCAACTGGGTCGCCACAGTACCCCCTCCTAGCGATGGAGTACTAGCAACAACGCGACACCACAACTAAGTCGACAACACCACTCTTAATCACGAAATTCCGCTAACCTTGCTGGGAAACGCACTACTCTACCAGCTCGTGTCACTTTCGGAATCGGCAACAGGGATTCACGCCTACAATCACCAGAAGTCACTAACTGATCACCATTCAACAACGCTGAAGGCTGACGCGTTTCTGGAACAACCTGTTCAAGATCATCACACGTTAAGTACGCCGCCTTCAACCTATCATTCGAAACAGTCACCTCTCTCCCACGGCAAACAATAACAGACGTCTTCTCACTACGACTCAGCACCTCAAATGGACCTTCGTAAGGCTGCTCAAGTGGAGCTCGAGCACGATCCACTCGAAAAAAACGTGCTTACAATTAATAACGTCACGCGGAACATACACAGATGGATGACAATGTCTTGTTGATTCAACGGATTTAACCTTAGCTAAAGCCCTTCGCAACGCCGACACAAAATCAGTCTCGGACGACTTCTGCTTGAAATCCGAAAGCATCTGCCCTGGAACACAAAGAGGATTTCCAAACAACATCTCTGAAGGACTAGCATTTAGGTCTAATTTCGGTGTCGTTCGCAATCCCAACAACACAAGCGGAAGAGACTGCGTCCAATTACTTGAGGAATGACATCGAATGGCTGCCTTCAATGTTCTATGGAAACGTTCAACCATACCATTTGCTTGAGGATGATAAGCCGTGGTATGAAAGTGTTTCACTCCAAGCAATCTCGTCAGTTCCCGAAATACAGCAGACTCAAACTGCCGACCCAAAT